ATCCCTTCCAAGTGGATGACAGTGGTAGCCGGGCACCATCTAGTTCTTCTGGTCTCATAGTTGTACAGGTTGCAGATCGGATGGTATACCAGTCGCTAGGACTGATTGTTTCCATTAATTTTGGTTTTCTTCTCGATGAGGAGACCCATCGTTGCATCTAGATGGCAACTTGCTAGCTTTTAAGATCCCAGTCGCTACTCGCTGAAGTAGGAGGTGGAACAATGCTTTGTATAGTATGTTACGCCAATTGAGCTTGGTGTCCCCTGCATGAAAAGAATTTTTATATTGAAATAGAAATTTATGGAAAAGTTGAAAGGAGTAATTTTTTTTTTTTTTTTTTTTGCCTAAGGTATTATGGAGTAATTTTTTTTTTTTTTTTTTGCCTAAGTCATTTGAGAATAAATTGCTGACCCAATGTCTTATCACTCCTGAATACATCAGTGTGTTTTTCCTATAAACAAGGACATTCTCCTGTTGTTGTTAATAGCAATGGAGGTGGCTCAATAAATTGCTGACCCAATGTCTTTATCACTGCTGAATACTTCAGTGTGTTTTTCCTATAAACAAGGACATTCTCCTGTTGCTGTTAATAGCAATGAGGCGGCTCCAACTCATAGGGACCTTGGGTACAACAGAACAACACTGCTCAGTCCTATGCCATCCTCACAATCTCTGCTATGCTTGAGCCCATTGTTGTAGCCACTGTGTCAGTCCATCTCGTTGATGGTCTTCCTCTTTTTTTCACTGATCCTTTACTTACCAAGCATGATATCCTTCCCCAGGGACTGGTCCCTTCTGACAACAGGACCAAAGCACATCTGACAAAATCTAGCCATTCTCGCTTCTAATGAAAATGCCAGCTGTATTTCTTCCAAGGCAGATTTGTTTTGCTGACAGTGCAGGGTATTTTCAGTATTCTTCACCAATACTACAATTCAAATGCATCAATTCTTCTTCAGTCCTTATTCAATGTCCAGTTTTCACATACATATGAGGTGGTTGAAAATACCATGGTTTGGGTCAGCTGTACCTTATTCTTCAAAGTGACATCTTTGCTCTTTAACACTTCAAAGAGGTCTTTTGCAGCAGATTTACTCAGTGCAATACATCATCTGATTTCTTGACTGCTGCTTCCATGGGCCCTGATTGTGGACCCAAGTGAAATGAAATCCCTGATAATGTTAATCTTTTCTCCATTTATTGTGATGTTGCTTATTGGTCCAGTTGTGAGGACAACCTCAATACAACTATCCAGAATCAAGAATTAACACTAACACATAACTACCAATTAATTCCCAAATAACATTCAAGTTTCACCATTTGTCCCAATGTCTTTAATAGCGAAAGGATTTAGCAGAATCATGTGGTTAATTTCGTTATCATGTCTCTTTAGCCTCCTTCAATTTAGAAAACTTCCTTGGACTGAGTTTCATGACCTTGATACTTCTGAAGACTATAGGACAATTATTTTGCAGAATGTCCCTCAATGTGTACTTGTGCACACTGCATCTTATGCAGGAACATCACTGGTGGTACTACAGTTTTACCCCATTTCATCAAGCAGCTCAGTTTTGATTTGTCCCAACACTATCAATGTTCAATTGGTTAATTTGATTAGGATGTCCCTTTGACATGTACTAAAATTGAGAACATCCTTGCTTTCCCACACAAAATATTCCAAGTTCATCTTGTACTCTCCCTGCCCCCGTCCTGAAATAAGAAGCCCTAGTTCCTTTCAGTGGTAAATGGTATTTGAAGGGCAAGACCTGGGCAATAGGTATGCTCATTGCTACTGGGGTATTGCTGCTCCTAAATTTCTTCAATGGACCAAACCAAAACCAAACCCACTGCCACCGAGTTGATTCTGACTCACAGAGACCCTACAGGACAGAAGAGAACTGTCCTACAGGGTTCCCAAGGCTGTGAATGTTTACAGAAGTAGAGTGCCTCATCTTTCTCCCATGGAGAGGCTGATAGTTTTGAACTGCCAACCTTTTTGGTTAGCAGCCAAATGCTTTAACCACTGTGCCATCAGAGCTCCTTTATCAGTGGATAGTTAGGCAATATATATATATATAGAGAGAGAGAGAGAGAGAGAGAGAGATAGACACACATCAATATACTCAGACATTTACATCTATTTTTCCCTATATCTATCTACCTATTTATATAACGAGAGTCATGAATTTACACTGATGCTTCTAATTTGAATCCAACAGTAAGATTTATTTCAAGTTTTCTCCGTCCTGTTTTGAAAACTCCCTTATCTGACAATTAGAAATGTTAAGACTCTCTCAAACTACAATATACTTCTTGTTGTTGTCGTTATGTGCTGTCGAGTGGGACTCGACTCATAGCGACCCCTCCTTGGGTTTCCAAGGCAGTATCACTACGGAAGTAGATTGCCCCATCTTCCTTCCGAGGAGTGGCTGGTGGGTTTGAACAGCCAGCCTTCTGGTTAGCGGTCAAATGCCTTAGGCACTATGCTACCAGAGCTCCTCAATTAAGTACTTCTGATGCCATTTTAAGGCATTTTAATATACTTAAGTTAAGAATTTTGAGCTTTATTGTTTTTATAAAAAGTCAAGGAAAGGTTTATATGTGGAAGGAAACTTTCTTTGTTGGTTACCAGGAGTGGAAGGGAAGGGGAGGAAACACTTCAAAAATAAAATAAAATGCAAATAAAATAAAAAAAGAAAGAAAGAAATAGAAAGTAAACTAACTAAATAAAAGAATTTTGAACTTTAGAACTATTCCTCCTCTAGAAAATGGCTCACAGCAGATAACCCAGTATGTCTGTATCATCACCTTTAATTATGAAAAACAGCACATTCACTAAAAAAGAAATAATTACAAGTTTAGTGTGATTTAGTCACTTCCTATTTAGTCATACCACTCCAGAGTCCAAAATTAATGCCAAAGAATAAAATGGTTGGTACTACAAAGCAGAGTGTCCTTGTGTGTCCTTGAGACCAATTACTATTTCTAGGACTCATTTTCCTCATTTGTAAAATGAGGATGCCAGATAAGATCAGTAGTTCCTAAATGTGAGAGTCACCTTATTAAATCACTTGAAAAACATGTTAAAAATTCTGATTCCCATTCTAGACCAATTGAATTTTGGGGTATCAACACATTGTTGCTTCTGAAATGCAAACAGGTAGGAAATCATTGGACTAAATGATCCTCATCTTCCCATCTTGTGTTACTAACACCATTAGCTGAGCTTTATATATATTTTCTGGAATTTCACAACAACGTTGCAAGGTATGTATATTGGTGTCACTGTTGTAAAAATGAAGAAACCAAGGCTCAGAAAAGTGAACTGCTCAAGTCACAAATTAAGTAACAGCTAAGGCAAGAATCTAATCCAGCTGGTACATTTTATTCCAAATAAAAATCTGTTCTACGGTTCTGATATTATTCTATAGAGTACTTAAAACATTATCTTTTATTTTAAACTTATTTTTAAAAGGAGAAAAATTTCAAGTGTTTTGTTTTGAGAAATAACTGCTAAAACAAAGTTGCTGAAAAAAAGAGTACAGTACAGGTGGGAAGGAAAGACAAGGCTCATAATATGTTACTTCAAAAATGGCAACACACAGAGAGCAATACCCACCTTAACTGTACCATCATCACTGCCAGTGCAGACAAGCTGGGGACCTCTCCTAGCCGGATAGCAGGAATTCACAAAGGAAGTATGTCCCTTCAGTCTTTTAACCCTCTCGCCTGTTTCACTATCCCACACAGCTACAGTTTTATCTGTGGATGCTGAGAAGAGCATACTAGAAGGTAAGAGGAAGAACAAAAAAAAGAGATTAAGTGAAGACAATAGCAATTTATCTTTCCTACTTGCAAAAATTCTGATGGTTTTGCACACAATGCTATCTCTGCTTAGAAAGCCTTACCTTACCTACAAAAATCCTACTCATGCTCTAGACCATATTATAAAGTTTACCCAAAGAAGTTTTAAAAAATATCCTTCTCTGATCTCCATGGCATATAATACAGCTAATATAGCGGTTTTCTCAATCTTTATTCCTCCTTTGTGACAGGTAACATTTGACATGTAAGACACACTCCATCTGGAAACGTGTAATTACTCCCTGCTGCTGCAGAGATAAAACAGACCGTGGCATTCCAGACCTGATAGCTGTGCAACTCTAAGTCTTTCTCTAAAAACCAAAGCTTTTGTCTCTGAGTATCATTTCTAAGTTATAACTGATTTTATAATGCTTTCATTGCTTAAATATTCACAGGAAAAATGTATAAAGGCTATATACCAGTTGACCCACAGCACCCTAAGATTTTAGAGGTCAGAGGCATGAAAAAATGAAAATTACCAAAATACGTACTAACGGAATTAACTTTGGAAATCTAAATTTCTTTATTATCAATAGGTTTTCTACAATTATTCAGTCATTAAAATAACGATTGTGATAAACAGAGATGCTAGGTGAATAGGGATGTGGGAAAAAAGGAACAGATGAGACTGTATACACAGTTCTAACAAATATATAAAAACCAAAGAGTTCTGAGCAGAAAAAAGGCTTGAGGGAAACACATCATAATATAAACAGTGATTATCTTTTGAGAGGTATGAGTTTTTTCATCTTTCTGCTTTTCTGAGGTTCTCAAAATAAATATTTTATTATTTTTATAGAAAAAGTTAATTTCTACACATAAAAATTACATCTTATGCTTTAAAAAGAAAACAAGTTTGTCTGGGCTGTTAGTATGTTAGATGACAGAGATGATGTACTGGGATACATGGAATAATAAACATTTTACTTGGGGTGACAATGACAAAGATAAGGTAGTGACTCAAAATGCAGGGTCTCCTGAAAAAGGAAACTGATAGATGAAAGGTAAAATGAATTATTAAGAATTAGTATGCGAAGCAGTCACCTTTCCATTATGCAGAATACTCACCTGCCGTCTGTGTTATAATGTAGTTCCATCACAGCTCCGCTGTGTCCCTTTAATGTGGCATAGTTATCACAATCACCATAGACATTCCACAACACTGTTAGGGAGACAGGGTTTCATTTCACAATGAAGTAAATGATACCAGATGAAAAAAAAAGTCAAATGTGAGATGAAATGAGTCCTTTGGCTCTTTTCTGATAACTCTGTGCCTCAGGGTGAATGATGTGTCGTCACTGCCCATTTTGATTTAGATGTTCCAGTTCTGTGATCCTTAAACTAACTGAATATCCATGAATTACTGATACATTTAATTTCATCAGACAAACTAGGAACAATTTCATCAACAGAAAAAAAATATTGTATATATGTATTTTATTTGTTTATATGGCTACTCTTCAATAACACTCATCAGACTATTATCCATGCTAGACCAAGCTTCCTGAAGAGAGGAAATGTGTTAACCTATTAAGCCTAGATCTCATCTTGCTAAATCAGCTCAAAATTTGCCTTAATGAGGTAGACAGTCTGAAGCAACTCATTTTCCAACTAGTTATATAATTCCTTCCATATTTACCACACAGACCCTAAGTTCTATACCTAAGAACGTTCAGCATTTTCATGCCCTCATTGTATTACGCTAGCCATGTAGTTTGTTATGTTGCCTCACCTTCAGAAATTACCAACTTAGAGGATACCTTTTGTGGTACCCAAGGTTTTAAAAACCTAATCACTGTTTGGCAGAGAGCAATTACATCAGATTTAAAAATCATGCCTTACATATCAATCGGTCAAATCCTGCAGATGCTAAGGTGGATCCATTGGGGTGAAACTTGCAACAATACACTTCTCCTTCATGTCCTGAGAGCAACATGATTGGGGCTTGAAGGGAGGAACACCTTGGAGGTCCCTAAACAAAAGAAAGAAGTACAAAGTAGTCACTGCTAGCAGGCAAAAGGAAGCTACAAAACTGGGGATGAGAGGAAGGGAAACAATGATCCAGTGGTTTAGCTCCTCTCACATCACTCAATCCTCCACATTTGTTTAGGTACTTTCAATGTTTCCTCCTCAGAAAGTCCTTCCTTGACCATTCAAACTCAAGTAGAGTCATTACATTCCCATCTGTATTTCACTAACCATTCTGTATTAATTTATGGTACCTATCAACTATTTGAAAATACCAGCTACTGCGATCAACCACTGGGAGGGGCGTCGGTGCAAGAGATCCTGGATAGAGTAGAACAATGTGGAACAAAACTAAAAATCATTTAAAAAAAAAAAAAAAAGACTAAGTTTGCTGGTCTGGTAGAGCCTGGTGAGACTCCTGAGACTATGGCCCCTAGCCACCCTTCAGGTCTAGAAGTGAATTCACTCCTGTGGCTTCCAGCCAAACAACAGACAGGCATATCGGGTGAACATTTACATCAGGTAGATACACTCCTTGGAGCGATCAATCATGGGAGAACAGAAGGGCAGTGTTTGCACAGGGAGGTAGCTCAGTGAGCAGGAGTGCATGGGAGGGAGGGAAAGATACAGGGAAGAGGAAACTATAGGGAGGAAGTGGAAAGAGAGCTGTCACATTGTGGGGAATTGCAGTCAATGTCATAAAGCAAAATGTGTAAGGCTATATGGAAAATGAATTTGCTTTGTGAACTTTCACCCAAATCACACACACACACACAAACCTAGTTTGCATATTTGTTTACATATTTTGTCTGTTTCTTGCACTAGAACACAAGCTCAATAAATGTAGGAATCTAGTCTCCAACATCATTCAACACTGTATTCCCAGTGTCTGTCACAATGAATGAATGAATGATTGAACTGAACTTCCAACAACCCCGCAGAGTAAGGATAACTGGGGGAAATAGGTTTGATTATGTCCTTGGACACTAAGTCAAGGCTTCCTAAACCTGAGCTGAATTCTCACTTGTCAAATAGAAAGAATAGCTATTCTACCAATAACTCCCAAATCTCTTTTCCAGTTTATTCATTTATTCAAAAAACAGTACCATGTGCCACAGGCACTGTTCTAGGCACTGGCGAAACAGCAGTAAACAAGATAAACAATGGAGCCTGCATTCTAGTGGAAGGGAGGGAAGGAGAGAAAAACAATATACAGAGGGTGGAAGTCCCTGGGCAGTGCAAATGGTTAACGAGCTTGGCTGCTAACTTAAAGGTTAGCAGTTTGAGTCTACACAGAAGTGCCTTAGAAGAAAGGCCTGGCTATCTACTCCCAAAAAATGACCCACTGAAAAACTCTCGAACACATTTCTATTCTAACATGCATTGGGTCACCATGAGTTGGAATTAACTTCACAGCAACTGGTTTATGTGATAGAGAAAAAATAAAACAGCAATGTGGGTTAGAGAGTATGAGGTTACTGCAATATATGGTGGTCAGGAAAGTGCTCAATGAAAAAGTGGTATCTGAGCAAAAATCTGAAGGAGCTAAGAGTGTAAACCCTGTGGACACATTCCAGCAGCAGGAGCAATAAAAGCACAAGCCCTGAAGCAGGTGCCTGGAAACCAGTGTGGCTGAAGCAAGTGAGCAAAGGAAGACTGGTAGAACAAAGAAGTAAAGAGAAGAAGAAGGAAAAAGAGTATAAGGATTTTGACTTTTACTCTGAGTCAAGTGGAAGGTTACTGGAAAGTTTTCAGTATAGGCATAAAGATCTTATTTACAAAAATTTCTCTGGCTGCTGAGGACCTGTCTTACTGTAACAATGCCAGATGAGACAAAAGCCTGAAAAGGAGGTTGTGATGCAGGGAGGTAGTAGAAGTGGTAGCACTTCTGGATACATAGATAGGGTGGTACCAGCAAGATTTGCTGATGGATTTGTTGAAGAACTAGAGAAAGAGGAACATATATATTCCTTCATCTATATGTCTCAACAGTGCAGTAGGAGAGGTGTGATCACTACATCTATCTTACAAAAACCAACCAAACAAACAAACCAACCAACCACATGTAAGAGCAAGGATTCTGGATTGAGAGTGCCTGGGTTCAAAATCTGTTTCTGTATGGACACCTATGTTCATTGCAGCCTATTCATGATAGCAAAAAGATGGAAACAACCTAACAGTCAACAGATGAATAGATAAACAAAATGTGGTACATACATATAACAGAATACTATGCAGCCATAAAGAATAATGAGTTCTCAAAATATAACATGTATCAAACTGGAAGACATGCTGAGTAAAATAACTCAGTCAGAAAAGGATAAATACTGTATGATCTCATTATAATAAAAAGACAATAGGTATACATACTGAAACCCATGCTTATTGGTGGATACCAGAGATAGGTTATGGGAGAAAGGATAGTAGATGCTCCTTAGTTTTGGGCATAGGAAATACAACACCAAATGTGGGTGAAGTACGCAGAGTCTGACCAAGGTAAATGATGTTACTAAGAAGTACACAAGAAAAAAAGTGTTTCTGGTAACTGCTTGCACATATGCAACTATGCAACAACTAAATAATAGGAGTGTAGACACATGTTTATGCATGTATGCATACAAATATATAGGTATGTGTATGTGTGTACACACTGTAAACAAAACCCATTGTCAATTCCAACTTATAATGAATTATAGGACAGAGTATAAACTGCCCCACAGGGTTTCCCAAGCTATAATTCTTTTCAGAAGCCGACTGTCATGTTCTTCTCCCATGGAGCAGTGGAACACTTTAACCAGTGTGCCACCAGGACTCCTATGTATATAAAAACCAAAAGCAAACCCACTGCCATCAAGTTGATTCTGACTCAGAGACCCCCACTGGATTTCCAAACTTTATGGAAGTAGATTGCCCCATCTTCCTTCTGCGAAGTGGCTGGTTGGCTCGAACCACCAATCTTCTGGTTAGCAGTCAAATGCCTTACGTACTGTGCCAGCAGACTTCCTTCCTATGTATATAGGTGGGCATATATAGCTATATCTACATACAGGTGAGAGCTCTGGTGGTGCAGTAGTTAAGCATTCACCTGCTAACAGAAAGGTCAGCAGCATGAACCCATGATCCACCACACGGGAGAAAGATGTGGCAGTCTGCTTCCATAAAGAAGCCTTGGAAACCCTGTGGGGCAGTTCCACCCTGTCCTACAGGGTCATTACGAGCTGGAATCAACTCAATACCAGTGGGCTTATATGCAGATGAATACATATACAGGTATCCCCCACTTTTTGAAAGTTCGCTTTACGCCACTACCCTTTCTATAAAAGACCTACATAGTACTTGTTTTCACTAACTGAAAGAAATTTGAAGAGGATTTTCACTTTTACAAAAAAAAAAGAGTGAAACTAGCACTGAACAACAGTATTGCAGTCAGCTATTAGAGGCAGTGTGCACTCCAAGTAGTGACAGCAGCGTTGCCAAGCTCCTTCCCCAGAACTACATTCAGCATCTCAGCATCAAGCCACCATAGCTTTGAACTGTTTCTGTGAATATGTTGTTGTTGTTATTTGCCGTCGAGTCGGCCCCAACTCATAGCGACCCCTCCTTGGGTTTCCGAGGCAGTATCACTACGGAAGTAGGATTGCC